GAGAAGAAGAGAAGAAAGCAGAGGATGAGAGAGAGGAAGAGAAGAAAGCACAGGACGAGAGAGAGGAAGAGAAGAAAGCACAGGACGAGAGAGAGGAAGAGAAGAAAGCAGAGGATGAGAGAGAGGAAGAGAAGAAAGAAGAGGATGAGAGAGAGGAAGAGAAGAAAGAAGAGGATGAGAGAGAGGAAGAGAAGAAAGCAGAGGATGAGAGAGAGGAAGAGAAGAAAGCACAGGACGAGAGAGAGGAAGAGAAGAAAGCACAGGACGAGAGAGAGGAAGAGAAGAAAGCAGAGGATGAGAGAGAGGAAGAGAAGAAAGAAGAGGATGAGAGAGAGGAAGAGAAGAAAGAAGAGGATGAGAGAGAGGAAGAGAAGAAAGAAGAGGATGAGAAAGAGGAAGAGAAGAAAGAAGAGGAAGAGAAGAAAGCAGAGGATGAGAAAGAGGAAGATAAGAAAGAAGAGGATGGAGAGATAAAGGAAGAGGGACAGGCATCAGAACCAGAGGCACATGATGATGGTGAAGAGAAGCAAGACGAAGAAGCTAAAGGAGGAGCAGAAGAGGAGAAACCAGAGGAAGGAGATGAAGAGGAGAAACCAGAGGAAGGAGATGAAGAGGAGAAACCAGAGGAAGGAGATGAAGAGGAGAAACCAGAGGAAGGAGATGAAGAGGAGAACCAGGAGAACACAGAGAAGGAGGGAGAGCCGGCGGAGGAGAATCCAGATCCCAGTGAGGACGCAGTCGCAAATACTGAATGAAAACCTGAAGGAGTTCAGCGAGAAACGATCGTCTGCCATCATGTGTGATTTTCTGCCTCCTGCAGATCACAGAAGGAGAACTTCCACTTCGTGGAAATATTCTGGCTGTTGTTTTCTCTATAACAACGTGAAAACGATGGAAAAGAGGGACCAGAACATTCTTCAAAATATCTTCTTTGTGTGACAAGACAGAAAGTCATTCAAATGATCACTTCTGGGTGAACTATGCCTTTAGAGGATGATTCATTACTTTGATTACTACTAATTTATTCATATTATTAATTGAATGTGTTGAGATTCTAATACTGTGAACAGCTTTAATAACAGCTAATTTTGCCAGTTAGCATTTGAGAAAATAAATATTTTCCATATAGTAACATAAATATGGTAACTAAATGAGTTCCAGTGCTAATGTCTGCTGAGCTGATAGGTGTAATGTTTGCTAAAATATTTATTTTAGATACTTTTTGTCAAGGAAGTTGAATATATGGATTTCTATCCATCTTCCAGTCGCTCCCGTTGTGCATGTCATAACTGTTATATTATCATTTCAACTGACTTAACATCAGTCCTGAAGGATGAGCTACATGCAAACTAAATACATATCTAAATACAGTCTTTTTTCTAGCAATTTTGAGAAATTACAAAATATTATTTCAGATATCCACTTGCAATTTTAAGAAAAAGTCTGAATTGTGAGAAAATGTTGCATTTACCGTTCTTATTAAAACAAAAATAAAAAAAAGGTGTGTGTGTGTAAATAAAATTCTGTGGTGAGAGAGAAAAAGCTGAATAGCAAGAGGCAAAGTCATCACCCTATTAAAAACATTTCCATCAGTGTTTAACTGATTTGGCTGCGTTTTGTTGACTGTATCTCAATGTGAGTGACACACACACACACACACACACACACACACACACACACTCACACACACACACACACACTCACACACACACACACACACTCACACACACACACACACACTCACACACACACACACACACTCACACACACACACACACACTCACACACACACACACACACTCACACACACACACACACACTCACACACACACACACACACTCACACACACACACACACACTCACACACACACACACACACTCACACACACACACACACACTCACACACACACACACACACTCACACACACACACACACACTCACACACACACACACACACTCACACACACACACACACACTCACACACACACACACACACACACACTAACCCTAACACACTCACACACACACTCACACACACACTAACCCTAACACACTCACACACACACACACCCACACACACACACTCACATACACACACTCACACACACACACACTCACACACACACTAACCCTAACACACTCACACACACACTCACACACACACACACACACACACACACAGCTGGTAGGAAATCTGGTGATGCTT